TTATTGTTACTATATAGAGCAAGGTATATGGTACTTGTGAAATAGCAAAATATATATGTGATTGCTTGGTAGTTTTATTGATAGAGATTTGTTAAAAATTGTATAATCATATTTATAATTTAATTGATATTATAGCAATTAAAGGTTTGAGCATAGAAAAATCATCATACAAAAATAGAATAGAAAAAAGAATTTTAAAAAAACTTGATATTAGTGTTGAGCTTTCTATTTGGATTGGTAGAGATATTACAAGGGATATAATTGTTAAAATCAAAGTATGCTAGGATGTGGCAAAGGTAAACAATTTGGTGGATAAAAATGTAGTCTTTAGATTTTTAGAAAACAATATGTAATCCCTCATAGACATCTACATTAAAGCAAATAATAAAAAAAAAATTCTTTATTGTAGTGTATAAAATCTTTAAGTTGTGGTGATAATGAACAAATAGCAAGTCCATGATCTACACAAAATGTAATAATGAAGTAAGATTCTGATTTTGAAATATATATACATAGGTTAGTCTCGATGGATTTGAAATCAAAATTCATATAAAAATCATGAAATTTTTGTTTTTAAATACATCATAATTACTTTAGTGTATATATATTTTTGATGAATAAGCTCACAAATATTGATGCATGAGGGTTTGTAACCTCAATGCTTTGAAAGTATTGCATGTAAATTTATGTTTTGAGAAACTCATGGAAGAATATTGTCTAAATGTTAAACTTAACAATGATCTTGTGGTGTTGTGTGGCAATATCAAATACTATTCAAATGGATTCATACTTCAAAATAGGATTAAAGATTTGATCATAATCTACTTCATATTTTTAGATGTAGTCTTTTGTAACAAGGCACACCTTAAATTTTGTAAGATATCCATCAAAATTTGACTTGACTCTGCATATGCACTTGCTTTTCATTACTTTGAGACCAAAAAGATGTAATATAAGATTCCAAATATTATTATAAAAAAAGAAATTATATTTGGCTTCCATTGCATGTTGCTATTTCTTAGTTTTTTTGTATGTATTCAAATCATTGGAAATGAGCTCATTAAATACAAGATTGGCAAACAAGTAGGAAATGACATAGTTATACAAGTAAGAAGGTATATTATGGATACAAAAAGGACATGATTCTAATTATATTGGTAATAGAATTGTCTTTGACACAAATAAGCACCTGTTACTAGTGATCTAATTTTGCTCAAGTGAAGGAGATGGTGAGCAGGTATGCTACTCATTTTTGGATTTAGTTATTTCTTGTTTTATATAAAATTGAGGAATTATATTTGTAATAGATTATTGATGAGCTAGACTTACAAAATTTGGTTGAGCAATACTTATACTTTGATAAATGCTAACAAATACCTCTTGGAATGAAAATAATTTTAAAAAAACTTTGAAGGTGGTTTTTCTATAATTCAAGAGTTCGTCAAAATTGACGTTGTAGTTCAAGATTATTTTGCTTGTCAAAGACAATATGCTTTTGTTTTACTATAGTAATCAATAAAGATGATTTTCATGCTCTTTGGATCTAATTTCTTTTGAATGGCTTTTGATACATGGATGTGTGCAATGCATCTAAAAAATTATAGATGAGATATAGTAGATATTTGCCTAATTCCAAGCTTGTAGGATTTTTTATAGTCTCTCATATGAAAAGCAATGTGATTTAATATATAAGCAATATTTTACATTACTTCCTTTAAAAAACTTAGATTAAATTTTATCACATGTAACGTTATACGTATAGGTTCAATTAAGGTACAATTCTTTAGCTTCATATTGTTATTTTATGCTGGGCTATAAAGGCTTATAAGTTTATATTAAATTTTAAAATCAGCTAATTACTTCATCAATTCTTTGCTTAAAAACTCCACTTTTTTATTACTTTGTAACTTCTAGATGTAATTTTTAATTTGTTAGAGAACAGAAATGTAAAGCTCTTTGAATTTTTTCATTATATTAGATTTTTGGTGAATGGAGTGAATTATATGGTATCTTGAAAAGACATCATTGCAAAGAAAAAAGTATTGAAGTTTTTGTGGTGATTCTTAATTTATTAGTCTATAAAATATTACTATAGAAGAAAAGTCTAGGTTTCTCAGCCCTCATTGATGTTTGTTACTTTGAAAAAGGTTAGTTTATATTCTTTCCTATAATACAACCTTCACAAGGGTTTTGTAGTATTACATGGTTTGATAGCTCTAACTCCTAAACAACACTATATGTATACATGTGCACAATCATAATACTAGGTGCATGGTCAAAATATTGGTGACATAGGGTTAGTTTGTTCAATGGTGCCTCATATGGTTTGGTCCTTTCACTCATGCTATATGTTGTAGTAATATTTGCTTAGGCAATTTAGATGTCAATTCTTAGTTCTACATTGCATAATTTATTGATACAAAAACCTATTACCATAACTCTTTCATGTCCCTCATGGCTTGTGAGGTAGCATATGTATCATGTATAAGTAATTACAAAGCTTTTATCAATTGCTTGGCCTATTAAAAATAAATCCTTTTGTAATGCTAAAACATAGAAAACATTGTGTATACATTGAAGCTTCTAAGCATCTTCAATTTTACATTTAATATTCATGCGGCTAAATACTTTCATTCAAAGACATCTATTATCTACCATCATAATATGCCATTGTTCCTAAGATATAGTCTTCAAAGAAACAAATTAGTCTAGATAATCAGTCATATGATTGATCATGCCTCTATTCATATACCAAACATTTGTATTGTCAATATATTCATCAATATGAGTCATGAATGATGAGCTATTATCTTCATCAAAATCTTCAATTACAACAACATTGGCTTTATAAATTTTTACATCCATGCTTTTGGTCTTCACTATTTTGAATACTATGATTTTCTTATCATTAAAATACACACTTGCCTAATATTTTTTTTTTGCTACACTTCCTACACTGTATTTTTTTCTTTAATTTAGCAATCTTAGCATATCATTTCTTTTTTTTTTCAATGGAAGGAGGCTTGTGGCTTGCACTCAAGCTTTTACCTTGGTTAAAAAAAATAAAAATAAAACTTTTCTTTTTTCTTTGTCCATACATTCTTAAATGTGATTTTTATTTTTTTTGTCTTAAACATACATAATATCAATGCTTCAATGGTTTATTCATATTATAGAATATTATTTTAAACTAAATATATATATATATGGAAAAATACTCAAAATTTTGTAAATAAATGTTTGGTTTGAGATAGGTTAATTAAGATTGAAATGATTTGTAAGTTGCTCTATGCAATTGACATGATCAACTACTTCAATGTTTGGCTTCATTTTCATATCAAAAAACTTTTGTTGTAGCAATTGCACATTTTTTGTAGTGTTTTGTTTATAGATTGTATACAAGCAATGCCACTTTTAGTTAGATGTGTGATAATTCATTAGTCTAGACATGAGTTTTTGTACATAGTAGAAATGATGAAAGATTGGTTGGCTGCATTCTTGTTAGTCCATTTCTCTTTGTCAACAAACGATTCTCTTGGAGTTGTACTATTCACAATGCCTAATAGCTTGCTTGCAAAATGTCACATGATTATCCAAAATTTTCAATCTAGAAGGTTTTCTCCCTTGCAAGTTTGACTATGTGTGTGATACCAACTCTTGTAAAGTCCTATTTGGGGCAATGAAAGATGCTAAATTAATAGAGGTTTGACTTTGGATGGATCCATCTAAGGTTTCCTCTTAGACAAGAACATTCTCTATGTGGTAAAATCCTTTGCAAATCTCTTCTTCTATCACAATGATTACAAAGTCAAGCAAAAAAGAAAAAAAAGAAAAAAAAGAAAAAACTTTGAGTTTGTCTCTTGTAGAAAAAATAATCATGGAATTAAGTACACAAGGTAAAGGAGACAAAATTAAAAAATTAAAAAATAGCTAATAATGGTATTTATTTTCTTACTTGAGCTTATTTTCTGGAAAGCGGATATGTCTTGCAAGAGAGACATCATAAACGTAACCTCTTGAGAGTAAAGAAAAAGACTCAAAACCTTTAATTTTTGCTCACACAATGATTTTCGTAGAAGAGAGAACTTTTGCATTTATCCCGTAAGGATCAAAGAGTACAAAAAAATGCACAAAGCTGCGTGTAGGTTTAAAGCAGTGGGTTGTAACAAACTTTGATCATCCAATTAATCAGTGTGGTCATTGTTTGCTTAACCAAATCGATCTTGTATCTAAACACTCAAGTGTCCAGGTCTTCCTAGTTGGACATCGCGCATGTAATGTTTTCAACAGAAATTTCACTTCAAATTCCCAGGTTCAATCGAAACAAAGATCATGTCAAGAGTAGGAGTCTACACGGCTAGATTCAAGTAGACTATTTCGAAACGCTGGCCAATACAGGGAAACTCCCACAATGGTGATTTTCCTCGGTAAGAGTTTTAGGGTTGAAAACCACATCGGACTTGCCAATGAAAGATCGCTAACTTTGAGCTCAGATTGGCTACAGCTGCGTCAGCCAAGCCTTAATTTCCTTCACTGTAGCCAATGTCGATGGTGTTCAATTCTATGCGGCATGCTGGGATACATGACCTCGGCTGCAATTACGTTCCGAAACATGGCAACCACAACAGCATACGGCTTTGTGGGTGCAGATGCTGCGCTTGGGGCGTAACCGCAACATCAACATTGTGTCAACTCTAACTGTTTGCTCTGAGTTTATTTAGAGCCTATTGTGATAAATACGGGTACACCGAGGCCCGAAATGAAGAATTAAAAACGTAAATCCTCTCAATCCACAAACGACTAAATCCAAACTACCTCAATAACACCAGTATGAGATCTTTCCTAATTGCAAATATTGGCGGGACAACACCCATTTCTCGCGGGAAAATATTGGGGGGACGTGGCCGTTGCTCGACGACGATCGACGGCGTCGACTGAGACTGCACCGTTCTGGGAAAACGTAAAAGTCTGGGGAGGTGAAAATCGAAAACGCTAAAGGCACCTGTTGTGCCCATGCTTGATGCAATCTCCTCCGCAAATTTTGTTACTTTTTCGGTGATAGCTGGAGACTTTTTCCTTCTTTAAAATTTTATTATTTTTTTGTGATTATTTTTGGAGTGGATAATTTTTTTCTTATTTGTGTGATATGTCTGAAATGTTTTTATTTAATTTTCTAATTCCAAAGAGACTTCAATTCCTTGATAATATCATACAGGGAATTTGGATTCACTTCCAATCCAGATTCGTTTATGAAGTCAAGTGATAAGCACAAAATTTCCTTCATACTATAACACTAGGAAATAAAAAAATGAAACAAAATATAAAAGGATTTTGATGGTAAAACTATTGAATTTTGAGTTTGATTGGTGTATTTCTCAATTAATATGCCAAAATGCCACTTAACTCTAATAAGCCTACCACATAAAAAAATAAATATGATAGAATTCTACTCAGTATTACTATTGTATCAGTTAAGTCAAAACTTACAATCTGTATTCATAACCGTTTTATTTGTGCTGTTTTATATTGTTTGAATTGTGTCGATCTAATGTGTGTAAATTGAATATGTTTCTGTGCAATAGAATGTCACATTTGTTTTTTTTTTTTTTTTTTTTAATAAGATTAGTATAATATATTTTGGTGACTTGACTTGTTTTTAAAATCTATTGATAAAATTGCCTAGAAAATAGACATGTAGTTTGCAATTACTGTGAAGATTAATATGCTTTTTCTGATGAAGAGCAGCACTAACGGAATTAAAGCAGGTAGAAAAAATTACTAAGTAAATCAAATACATCTGTAAATGTGCAGATGAAACATGAAAGTTTGAAGATGAGATAATATATAAATGTACTCTACAGAAGCATATTGTGAAAGCAAACGTGATTGAAAATATTTGAAGGAATATAAAATTTCAGAAAAGTTTTCATGATAAAATATTGAAAGAAATAAGAATACTCGAAAGCAAGAGAAAACATCACAATAAATGATGAAGTTGAATTTTAAAATTTTAAAATAAATTTCAATTGTGTTTTTTATTTTTTATTTTCTTATAAAAGATAAAAAAAGTAAAATTACGTGATAAAAATGGAATAAGAAATTAAAAGAATGCAAATAATTCAGTTAAAACAATTATCATTTTGGTTCTTTTCCTTGGGTTTGATTGAATCTCATTAGTACAACAACATGACTTTTGTCAATTCAGGCTTCTTAACTTGGCCTTTTCTAAATAACAAATCAATCAATTTACCATATTGTGTAAATCTTGATGAATATTAACTTAACAGTTACCATGACATCATATTTGTGAGCTTGATACATGAGTTTTATACATATTTATTTCCATGTTTAAAAATGATGAAATATAAAGTTGATCACTGCTAATTGAATATAACTATTACATGTTACTTTAAAAGACAATTTATTTCATATAAAAAACAACTCAATGGATAAACCAACAAGATAAATCAATGGAGACAAAAACTATCTCTAATTTGTTGCATATCTCATTGTTTTCATCAAAAGTTAAGCAATCAGAGATCAAAATTTGCATGTTGTCGTTGCAAAATGATGAGAGTAACACTGCAAGATCACTAAACATAGAGCTGAAAAACACAACAACATGGAATGACATGGAACATAGTAGAACAACATGCAATATGGAGTTTCACGTCATATGAAGCTTTAAACAAAGATTTAATTTACAACACATAGTTTACAATATATTTTTTGTGGGCAATGGCACAGGTTTCCACTAATATAACATAATACATGAAACACTAGAATCCTCAATATATATAAGTTATTCATAGATAAAAAATAAAATAAAATAGATCAGTGCAAAATTTTCAATCTGATATCATTTCACAACTTGTCAACATACATTGTGAAATGGTATTTTATAACTTAAACATTGTACATAAAATCAAAATTAATTCATGATCATAATTTCGTTTGCAAAAATTCAATTCAAGAAATGAAAACTAGATTAACCATCACGTAAATATTTACTTTGGATAACATTATATAACATTTAATGAAACCTACTTCTAATACATTTTTTTTTGTTTTTTTTATCATATATACTCAATGCCAAAGTTTGCTGAATAGAGATCAAAGAGAATTATTTTGAAAAGCATAAATATTTTAAAATAAATAAAAAAAAGAATACACACACTGAAAAATAACGAAATTTGTCGTATTATGCCTAATTACCTTCGAAGATTGCTTTGAATCATACTGCCAAGGAAACGAATAATTCCTCAAACTTTATTAATAACATTGGATGAAACACGCATTAGATGAAAAATCCTTCATCCACACGCCGTGTTGGTCATTCGTTGCCACCGACGAGACTGGAGGGCTAGCCCCCAGAAAATGATCCAGAAAACGATCGATGACATCCATCCCAAACAGCATTCATCAAAGAGATGAATATCATCCAATAGACTTGTGTAATAAATATATATACTGGAGTGGCTCCGTCTCATCATCATTCTCTCCTGTGCCCTAACTCTGCATTGCGGCCCTCATGGGCGATCTTCGCAGAGCGTGGACAGACCTTCCTAGTAGCTGTATTGCCTAGCGATTGCTTAGCTTTTCTGTGTTCCTTCAGTGTGTACTGAACTTCGTATGCTGCTCAGTCTTTAGGTGGCCTCATTTCGGCTTTTGTAGAGATTTATGGTGTTTTTTTACGTGTATTCTTTGTACATTACGAGAGCCGCGCGCTCTGGAGGTTTGATGAGTAATGGCATTGACTTAGGGTTTGAGTTAATGTTTTAAATTTATTTTGGTGCATATGAGGAAAGAAATTAGCATTCACCTGATTTCGATGATGCACAACACCTTGGAGAACTGATGCATTTTGGGGTTAGGGATATGGTCTTTGAGCCGATGATTATTGTTAATTGGAATTACCGGCTGATGGTTTCAATGTAAGCCAGAATGCTGTGAACTGGCTGACTGAGGCTTTCGAATAGTAGACAGTAGCACCTTGCATCTACAACGCAGGAACTTAGTGTTGATTTCCTCTGCATAGGAGGTTGGTGTCGCCATTTGGTATCTCATCTACTCTGCTATTACACTGGCTTATGATGACTCTTATATTGCTACGTATTGGATGACCTTTGGTCGCTGACACACAACTACCACCAAGAGCTGAGGCCTTGCAGGAGAATTGCTCTCACAGTTTAACCCCTAGCGGATCAAGTCTAATAATTCAGAAGTTAATTGTTGATTTCACTCTTGCAGAATTGATTCCTTCTACAGTCGTATTCCAACGTAGCTGGTCATTCCTTTCCAAATAAACCTGCGTTAACGAAGCTTCAGAGATTTTTTAATGTGCAAGGAAATTATTCTTGCTGATTACCAGAATGCCAAAATATTACCATTCAACGAAGATATGAATTAAAATAGCTAACACTACTCTTAATGTAACCCAAGCAAACACATGCCGTTTCGTGGAACATGTTTTAGCATACACTCTTGCCCGTTTGGAGGGACGCAACACGCTCGATGATCTGGAACTGAGTGAAGCTCACTTTCACCAGGACCCTGACGAAAGTGTCACTTTCACCAGAACACTGACGCACTCATCCTCACATTCTATGACACATCTCTGCAGACCCACCCTTGGGAGACCGAAAATATTTTCATGTAGTTTATCATTCAGGTCTTCTTCCTATTAGCATCTTGAATAGTATTATCCGAAGATAAAATCTTCTGTGTCCAAATTAGTCGCATCCAATCCACCTTCGATCCTCAGTCCATTTTCACACTCTATTCCTATCACTAAAATTTCTTATTTACATGAAGTCGATTTGTTTTCTACTGCGATGTGAAAGGTACAGGTATAAAACATGTCACACGCCTGTATGACACTTACCTACATCTAATGCTAACTCTTGCAATTTCCAATGGCTGCAAGAAGACATACTCATTATGTTCATCAATTGCGTCAACATCAAGCACACTGTCGTAAGACTTGCAAGATCACTAAAACGGAAGTTGAATGCAAAAATTAGTAACTTCGTCATACAGTTGCCTTTAGAAAATTCCACATCAGCTAAAATAAATGATTCTAATTCATTATTTCAAAACAAAAATTAAATCAATGCATATATCAAATTCTATGTGCACTGCTTATATTAAAGATAAAGAGCCACTCTTGCCTAATCATTCTAATAAGAATGTGCACTGTTGAGATTATGTAGTACAGTTCGTCAACCTTGCATACAGGGGACAGAGAATTTATAAAACAGACATTCATATCTACGCTCCAGTGAACCTAAAGCACAACTTCCATAGACAGTAGTAAACTCGCGTCATCCCCATTACCTGCGATCAAACTTCCACACAAATTTGTCCAATATACACACCCACACAAGACGTGCAATCAAACAATTCATCACCTGATAGCCAACACTCAACTACCTAAGATCCCAATGAGAATGCCATAAAATTCATTCCAATGTGATGTATGAAGCAACCCTAAAATTCCTTTCGAAAGTTGTTTAAGTCCTGCGAAACCCAATCAAGACAGGAAACGAAACAGGTCTGTTATTATTCTAAAACCATAAATCTCATATTGCAAACGAGGAGAGATATTGGGTACACCACAACAAACATCCCCCGACCCCCTCCCCAAATACATCAAAAATTTCTGTCGAACCGGTGTGGTGGCTGTCAGTTAAAACAACTAACCAACAAATACAATCGCAAGGCAATCAAAGGTGCCCATACTGAATGTTGCTCATCTCTAAACTAAGGCTGGAGCCCCCAATAACCTCAATTCTTATTGGAGGCTCTAAATAAATGTCTCACGCTACAGAGCCACCTTCTTGTCTCCTCACTAAAAAACTGAACCCCGTTTTTATCTCAAAAATGTGCACGAAAACCACAAGAAGACGTAGGAAACAAGAGCAGTGGAGAGCTCCAAGGACCAAGTCCTAGGGATAAGCAGTGGAGGAATGACGGGTATCAGGATGGAGCCAAATACCCAACCCACAACCAAGGAACCTAGGCCAAGCACAAAAGCTCTGCCGAGGCTCTGGAGGCGGAGATTGATGAAGTAGACACAGGCAGCAAGAGAGACGGCTACTTGGAAAGCTGGTCCTCCTTCTGCAGGGTTGAACACACTCCATACTCCCAGTAAGAAGAAGAGAGCAGCTCGCTGTCCAGTGATTGTTTTGTTTGGAACTTCCACCATGTTGAGAATAGCCTGCACCCATGGAGGTGATTCTTCCACCTTCTTCTTCAAGTTGGTCTTCAAGTTGATTTTTGAGGCCTTCCGCACACGGAAACTGTGCATTATAATTTTCTCGTAGGCCGCCTCGATTGCCTCCCGGCTGTACTCATGGCCGTAATATTGCTCCGTCAGATAGTTCTTGGCTTCGCGGATTTCTTCCTCGGATGCGTCCGGGCTCACCCCCAAGAGCTTAAATGGGTCGCGGACATTACGTCTGGGGAACACGGGTGGTTTTAAGTTCTCCGCACCTCCGAAAGTGGCATCCGCCGCCCGACAGACGAGACCCTTTGGCAACGGTTGGCTTAAACCAAACTGCCTCAACGCGGGTGTGGGGAATCTATGAGATTGTAAAGAGTGTGTCAAATTGGCTGACCTCGTAGAGATCAAAAAATTGGAACCTCGCAGACTACACATCTTGCTTGGCTCGCAAGTGGTGTCACAGACGAAATGCTGCCGACTCTTCTCACCACAGAATGGTTCACAGTCTATGAAGGCGAAGGTTTGGGAGGGAGGCTAAGAGGGTCTCCTTGCTATGAGCTCAGGCAAGCGGTTTAACCATAAGTTTTCTGCTCAAACAAAACAAAGATAAGAGAACGTGGATCAGATAAGGAAGAGTACAACACGACATTGCAGATAGGAAACTCAAAGGTGTTGAGTGTTCGAGGAGGATACAAATTTCCTACTGGATTCCATCTCCGAATAGTTTCCTTCCTTCGCCGTTCCATGCACTCGGCCCTTGACCCTAAAACTCTTTTTCGTTTCAGAAAGCTATCTCTAAACGGGTGAAAGACACAGAAAAAAATAAAGTAAATCCAGAACAATCTCAACCACAACGAAAAACACGGGAAAGAAGACCAAAAGAAAAAAAAGACCTAATTCAGTGGTTTGTAAACATCTACACCGAGACCAATTGCCACCATCTCACTGAGTAGCACCACGACACCTACGCGCGGCAACAAAATAACTAAAACCACCAACGTATCCAAGTCACTCCAAACCAATGACCAGAACGCTCACAGCAGAGCTTCATTACGCACGTCCCTATCCTCCACTCAAAATTCCCAAAACCTCAGAACCCACTCAATAAACCACCCAAAATGTAGGTAACGCAAAAACCCCTCACACTCACAGGCACCCAAATCGAGCCAACATTCCAGCATTCTATCTCAGAACATTCTACGATCACTCTCCGCTTCCACGAATCAAAACCTCGTGGAATTCAACAAAGCGCAACGACGATAAGGCAGACAGCAGAGGGAGGCGCCCCACAATACCTGGCAAAAAGCCAATCGGGTATTCTTTCGAAATGCCGGCGTCTTGAAGCCCGAAATTGTAGAAGAGTGAAACGAAACCAAGGCTTGGTGGTGGCATGAACGAATTGCGAGTGCCTGTGTGTTTGTCTGCGAAGCAGGAGCTCCAGTCAGCCTGTGTCGAAATGAAGCATCAGTGCCGAAATGGATAGAGCTCGCTCCGCGGAGCTGGAACCAGTTCCTGGCCCTCGCAGTGTGAATAGGGTTCCTCCCAACCAGCTTTGGGCTGGATGGGCTCTGTTGGCTGGTCCCTGTTAACGGAGTTACTTCCCATTCGTGCACTTACCACCGTGGACTCCACGTAGGATCCACGTCAGAAATAGATTTAGTGAGCTTGCTTCTTCAGATAATATATTTAAGATAAATTTGCCAATATGTATAATGCAAGTTGCAATGTCAATAGAATCTCAATAATAATAATATTGGGATACAAAAAAATTACACAAGTTTTTGAATGAATTTTTATGCAGAAATTTAAAACATTTAAACAATATTTTGTTTTTAAAAAACGTCACTTTTAGAACTTTTTATAGAATGTTTTGGATCAATTCTATTTTAAATGTTGTAGATTTTACTTCAATAAGTAATTTTTAGGTCCACATCAATGAATGTTATGCTTGAGTGAATTTGGCGTAAAAAAATGTGTGAAAAGGATAGAAAAGAAAAGAAGATACCATCTTCTTGGCAATTTTACAAGAATGAACTTGAAAACGTTTATTCTTAGACTGTAAAAAAAACCTTTCAAATTTGATGCACTGACATTTTTATCTAAAGATGTTTTTTAGTTTGAATTTATCGAGGGATCACCTATAAAAAATATAATGATAAAAACTTCCATTAATAAATAAACTGCTACTTTTGTTGTCTCCTTCAACCTAAAGAAAACCTTACCACCGTTTTATTTTATTCAATTTTTTTCCTTTTTTGAATTTTCCAATTCTATGTTGAATTTTTTTCCTTTTTTATTTTTATTTTTAATTTTTTTGGATATAAGAGTGTATTGTAATTTTAATCAAGTATAATTTCATTCAATATATATACAAAAACAAAACAAACACAAACATCAATATTTATTTCTAATTTATTTACTATCAATAAAAAATTGAGCTTGGGCAAACAAATTCTTTTGCACCCTAATAATGTAATGAATCAATTATTATTATTATTATTATTATTAGGGCAACTTATTAATAAACCCATTCAATATCCAATCACAAATCTCGAAGTGTGGAGGTTGAGGTGATTTCGAGGGTTAGACCACAAATTGATGACCACTTGACAATTGGATGAAAGCTGTCGGCCTTGCATTTACAGCTGAAGAATATTTCATCCCCCCCGTTCAATAGTTATCCACTCCCAGCGTAGATTTCCACGCGGATCAAATCCCACATTGGAAGCGTAAGAAAGCGGGCTACGAAACCACGCTTGCATTCACGCGCGAGACTGTGCGTCGATACGATTCCTCACTCTGGTTGCTGCTTTCCTTTCAGTGTGGCGATGGATCCGTGCTTGTGCCTTGTGTGACATAATTCCTCGGAATTGCAGAGGCTGCAGTTTATGAAATCGCGTCAACTAGGGAAGGCGTCTGGATGATCGTGTTGACTATGGCAAGGTTACTGCGCAAATTCGAAGCTCCAGCTCGTGGTGTCCTGTGCCGCTCTTGTTTTTCTGAATCGCGGCGTTATGTGACGGATGCGAAGGTCCACGGCACGGGTTTTCTGACGGAGAGGTATTCTTTCTTTGTAACTGCTGTCGATCGCTTATTTGAATTGGATGCATTCGGTGAGAGTGGATAATTATCTATGTTTTCATGCTCTTGCGGAGAGTGAGCGTTGAGAGTCAAGTTTTCATATGTGTGTATGTATGTATATATATATATATATATATATATATATATATTTTCTCTCTTGGATCGAATTGGGATTCTATTGTGGATGTTACCAATGGGGAATGGATAACTATGGTAGTTGTGTAATGTTTTGCGTTACAGCCGAATGATCTGTTTGTAAAATGGATTGGCCTTAGTTGTCTTGGAATTATTCTCTACGTACACTGCGCTAGGTTAGTCATGTCTCGGAACGGAAAACCCTTATCTCATACACGGCTAGAGTGATCGATTTAACGGCGAGTTTTGAAGTTTTTTTTTCGTAATTATGATACCTGAAATAGTGAGCTTGTTCTTAACAGGCTCTTAAACAGTGACTGAAATCATAACTTAACTCTCAATTTTCATAGGAATTAACATTGTTGAGGAGCTCAATGTACTGGCAGCTCTGTCTGCTGTTTTTCAGCTGGAAATTTGCAATGGGGGTGGATGTCTTGCTCCGGCACAACCAAGGAATTTAATTGTACTCCCTCACTGAACCAGGGGGTAATTCTGCCTCTCCTTCTGAATGAGTGATTCAGTGTCTGAATTATTCTTGAAAATCATCAGGAAAGACACTGAATTGCTCATTTTGGATTGAGGATAATATTCTGTGTTTTTCCTTGTGACTTTCTAGAGCATTGTCTTTTAGTTACTCCTGTTAAGTTCTTTCGGCTAGATTCAGAACGAATTCGTGAAGCTTACCGCTTTTTGAAGACTTGGTAGCAATATTGTAGAATTATGCAGTAATTGCTCATGTCCATTTCCTCCAAATTGATGATGGTCCTAAGCAAGTAGATTTGAATATCACCATGCCCTGCTACACCTGCATCTGACGATACAAGCGCTTTGACCTTGGTGCTGTTATACATCGGACTATTTTTTCTTGCTGAGTGTCAGTTTTGATCTTTTAAAGCTATTTTGTAACAAAACACAGCATGTCTAGTATTGTCTATGAAGAAGTTCTTAACTCTGTCTTTTACAATATCTGACGCCATGTATCTCTTCTCTGCTAGGGTTTGGGATGCAGTAATTGTGGGTGGAGGTCACAATGGCCTTACAGCAGCTGCCTACCTTGCTCGAGCTGGATTGCAGGTGGCAGTGCTCGAAAGACGTCACGTTCTTGGAGGTGCAGCAGTTACCGAAGAGATTGTTCCTGGGTTTAAGTTCTCTAGAGCTAGCTATCTTCAAAGTCTGCTGCGACCCGGTATTATACAGTGAGTCTTGCCCGCATCCTCTTAATAGGAATTTAGGGGGCTCTAGGGTTTAGGGTTTAGGGGCTAATTACTGTAATGTGTCTATCTATTCTTTGAGCGATATTTTGTCATCTGAAGGATCAAGTCGATTTGTTGGCCGTATGTTCCCTTGCTCAGGATTGTCGACAGACGTAATGCCTGCTTTTGTTTCCATTGAGATGTATTTGTGGAATCTATGTGTCCGGATTGTTACTAGGATGACTTCATTATCTTCACTACTGGTTTTGAGGGCACAGTGAAATTCAGAGGACTGTGATTTTCTTTTTGTGCCTGAGTTATGAGATTCTTAAACTTTGTGCTTTATCCTTTTGTGTTTCTTAGAGAGCTGGATTTGACAAGACATGGACTTAAGCTGCTTCCAAGGAACCCGTCTTCCTTTACCCCGACTGTAGATGGACGTTTCCTTCTCATGGGCCCTGACTCTAAGCTTAACGAAGCTGAAATATCTAAATTCTCAAAACATGATGCAGCAGCTTATCCTAAGTAAGTCCTGAAATCTGCCTATGCTACCCATGATTTGGTTATATTAAACCATATACAGAGCAGTACAGGCGCTGCATCACTCTGGACAGCGCAGGTCTTGGCAGCATTTTGTCTCTGACCCAAACATCCAATGTATACATAAATTGCTAGAACTCAATGGGTGATGAATTTGTTTTTGTGGATAGGTACGAGCATATGCTGGAGAAATTCTGCTCAGTAATGGACCCGCTTTTGGATACAGTGCCTCCAGAAGCAGCGATGGGTGGAACGTCTTTGGCAGGAAGAATGGCTGATGGCTGGTCTAAATCGAAGGTCTTGGGTAGCTTACTAAAACGCTCCTCAAAATTGAAGCAGCATGAAATCACGTAAATGACCTATACAAATTTCTATCACTTCTGGCAGATTATTCGATTCTTCTACTGTGATAATGCTCCTACCTTGTGGAATCAAATCTGCCTGAAAACAATACAAGCTAACTTTGAACGTTATCTTCAGACTGACTGGTCACGTGCTCCAATCTTATTTGAGTAGTGTCTTGTGGCTCATTTAACGGTTCATTGTCTCGGATAAATGGCCCCAGTTGCCCTGTGGCTACATTATGACTTCTTAGATTGATATGTTAGCTGTTGCACAAGTAGGGACTGAGGGAGAGATTGTGGAACCGCTCCTTGAACAGATCTTTTATGGAGCTGCTGCTCGCACCTGCTTCTAAGGTGCTCAATAATTGGTTTGAGGTAACATTCAAATTCTCATATGCTATCACTATCTACTTTTTGAATGTGAAGGTAATAATGTTTGTAAGTGAGGTGGGTTCTCGCATAAATTTGGAGCAAGTTTCCAGATTTTCAGCTACTGACCATTAAAGATTTAGACTCTGCAAAAAAAACTTCATTTTTATCAGCTTTTATGTTTTTCTTTCCTCTTCTCTGTACATTCCATTGTCATAATGTTGATATGTGCCTTTTAAAATTCACTTTTAGCTGCACTAATCCCATTTCATGTGTTTTTAGCTGTGTACCAGTGGATGGTGTCGAAGTCAATATGTGATGTACTTGTGGTTTGTGTGCATGACAGTCGGATGTCTTGAAGGCAACTTTGGCAACGGATGCTGTAATTGGAGCTATGGTACATCACCCAACTCTCGTCAATCCTTTTAGATCAGATCTAGAGTGTTCCGGCTGAAATCTCAAATGATGTTTGATCTGGCAGGCTAGTGTGCACACCCCCGGCAGTGGATACGTGCTTTTACATCACGTAATGGGAGAAACCAATGGATCTCGTGGTATATGGTCGTAAGTGCATTATTCCTACTTCTTTTGTCTTTCTGAAAGTTGGCCCGGGTTAATTTGATAGAAGCAAAAAATCCTGCTAGAATTTCAGGATGACCAGTCATGTTTCGAAATCCATTATGAGAATTCTGGTTATGATGCTGTATATGTCTGAGCTATGGATGAACTGGATAAGTTGTTTTATTGAGTAACGTTTCAATATAAGAAATTATTTTCGATAACGTACCTGTTACGAATATACTTGTCAAATATTTGCAGCCTTCATGAACATGGGAGGAGTAACTTGCTTTTTCAGAATACAAGAGTGTTGAGTACCACATGTTGTTAGATATGTGCAAGGTGGTATGGGAGCCGTATCCACAGCTATAGCTAAAGCAGCATCAGAAGCTGGTGCAACCTTAGCTACAAATGTTGAGGTTAGTATTTTCTCCAATGCATGGAAATCTGTATATCTTGACTTTTGTCCTGTATCAAGAACGTTCAGATGACGTCTTTATCTTGTTAAATAGCGCTGTCTCAAATCGTTGTTGATGCTGTTTTTGTCTAAATTTGACGAATGTTGGTGATACAGGCAAATCAATTTCTAATGGACAGCGAATCCAGGGTTGGGAAAGAAATTGCTGGGGTATGTAACGGTTGAACTTATATTTACGTCGACATGTGAAGGTCTTTTCTACTAGTGCACAGCTGTTTTCAAGCGGATTAGAGCATGTTGTTTGAGTGGTATTTTGTATGCGCTACAAATTACCTTTTGACATTATTTTTCCGGTTTAGTGGTCAGGTTATATTGGTTGACGGGTCAGAGGTACGAGCTAAGCAAGTTCTTTCTAATGCTACACCTGCTGTCACCTTCTTGGTATATTCAAAACACTCCTTTATTCACACGTGATGGTTATGAGGGTGTTGAACAGTTCTAGGTTTTTCTGAAGCTGCTTGTTGCACATTGTGCAATTTTTAGAAGAAACAAATTTAAGGAAAAAGAATGTAAATTTACAAATATGTTTCTACTATTTATTTTCAAAAGCGGAACTAGTTCATTTTGAGCATTTGTGCGTATGAGCGTCATGTTTCTGATTGTAGAAAATGTACTGCTACTAGATTTAGTATATTGACCCGCCTGTTTTGATTGGATTTGATTTGTGGCATGCTCTTCAATGGTTTTTGCACTTTTAGCCCACCTAAAATGTTGAGGTTTGTTTATATGTTCTCACATTTAAGTTTTGTGTTGACTTTGCAGAAATTGATGCCGGAAAGTGTTTTGGATGAGGAATTTTTAACTAGTGTCAAGTCCATTGACTACAAATCTGTAAGTGCCGTTTTGCCTCTTATCAACGTGGATGTTAGTATGTCATCAATTTCTGTTTTAATCTGTAGAATGAAGTGTAGTTTGACAAAGGAATCCAAAAACCTTATTCTCATCAATTTTTGGCTTTCGAATGTTCAGGGAACGACAAAAATAAATATTGCAGTAGATCGCCTACCAATGTTTCGAGCTTGTTCTCGTACAGACAACACTGCTGGGCCCGAGCATTGTGGGACCATCCATCTTGGTGCTGACTGGTATGCTTTGCTATGATAATTCATCCCTTTTTGGTATTTTTGCATGCTACCTTATAGTATTACTTTATTACTTAGAATTCATGTGAATCCTGATCATTTGTGATCGTTTTGCAGCATGGATGAAATTGACATAGCTTACAGGGAGGCGTTACTCGGTCGGGCATCATCTAGGCCTTTGATTGAAATGACCATCCCTTCTGTCTTGGATGAAACAATAGCTCCTCCTGGTTCGTCCTCCAGTCAATTCCCTTCAATAGACTCATACTATCTTGTTAGTCATCTTCCTTAATCGAAGGGTAGCTTTCACATGCTGCCAATGTTGATAATCCTGCAGGCAAACATGTGATCAATTTGTTCATTCAGTATACACCTTATGATTTGAAAACTGGTAATTGGCAAGACCAAGAGACTAGGGTAAGCACAAAAACTAGAGGTCGTTAATCAATTGCATGCAGATTGATTGATTTATTAATTATTTATTTCCATTGGGACTAAGATGTGGCTTGAATCTCCACCAAGTTTGCACTTTCTCTTACTGATTAAAGGCTTTGTTAAAAAAATGCGACACTTAGACTTTTTAAACAATGAAACTAACTTATCAGTTTTGCTATGCAGGATGCCTTTGCAAAGACATGTTTTGATTTGATTGAAGAATATGCCCCTGGATTCTCAAGCTCCATCATAGGTTATGATATGCTCACTCCTCCAGACCTGGAACGAGTTTTGGGCCTTACAGGTACTTTTCTACCCATGTCCTCAAGGGCCTCAACGTTTGTAGTAGCTTCTACTTTGTATTCAGAGCACGGTTATGATTTTGAAACTTTTAGTAATTGCAGTGGAGTGCTGTTGTTTCACAAAGTACTGAGAAGAATAGTCTCTTTCGTTACTAGCCACTCTGTGCTTTGAAATATTAAGGTTTTCAATTTCGATGTGCGTCAGGTGGAAATATTTTCCATGGGGCAATGGGGTTAGATGCTCTTTTCCTGCTTCGACCTTTAAAAGGCTGGTGAGCTTTACTAACATTGAAGTGGTTCTGTGAAATAAATTGCAATCTATTTTGTGCAACAAGTTCTTGTGCCTACTTTCATTTCATAAAGATTATATTGCTGACAGACGTTCTTCAAGTTAATGAACTGAATATTATTGTAGAATATGAGATGGATATTGACTGTCACATTACTATCACAGGTCTGGGTATCGAACACCAGTGAAGGGTCTCTACATGTGTGGTGCGGGTGCACACCCTGGGGGTGGGGTTATGGGAGCCCCTGGTCGTAATGCGGCAAGTGTTGTTTTAAAAGATATGCAGAAGGGATAGTTTTTTATGATTATTTTTTATTTTTTTATATGCATATGCCAGCGCCTTGTTGTGGTTGCTGGTTGTTATAATGAGCCTATGCAATACCTTTACCTCAACCCAAGCGCATCACCTACTTCACCCTCAATTCTGTCAACTCATGCTATGTCGAGCCATATTTGCAGTGGATAAATGCTGGTTCAAAAAGAAAGAAATCCTTTTCAGCCACTGCTAAGGGACTTTTTCAAAGGAATTTTCATCTGGTATGAGTAAAGAATAAAGATGACAGGCTATTACAAGCCTTTGTTACTCGGAACAAGAAACTGTTTTCCAGCTCTTATTCAGGATGCAGTATTACTAGCACAGAAGTGGATTATGTCATAATAAAAGAGTGGAAGATGATATCATTTTAAAAGAGTATTTGCGGACTAACTACGCTTCATCTAAATTAGAGGCACATATATGTTCAAGCAAGTCTGTGTTGGTATTGACTAACCAGGAATTGAGGTTGATGTAGAAATAAAATTTGATGTCATGTCGAGGAAAAAATCGTCTGGCATGTGATTATACTAAATAAATACATAATTGGCCAGGGTGGTTGAAGACCAAATGAATTCATAAAAAACTTTGATTATTGAATCTATGGCTAAAAACTCTTCAAATGGTCTTTATGAATTGTTAAATCTTTTCTTTAATGTTTAAAGTGTACTAAAGTAAATCAAATTCACCAATTGAAAGAAAGAACTCCTAAAACTCTTGGATGTCAACCTTCTTCCAATTCCAACTTGGATGTTGATATTTTAGTAGGGATTGTTCCTTGTTGAATTGTTCATTGCTATTTAATCTTTCAAATGTGTAGATACTAAATTCTAATATGCTTTCACAAATTTTTTCTTTCATCAAATAAGCAAATTCCTCAAGATCATAAAAGACCTTATTGATCCTAAAATTCAAATATCTAAGACTCTTATCCAAAAAACTCTTATATCCTTCAATCTAACCATTTGATTGACCTTAAATTTGTAAAACACATTTAAGGCAAGTACAATAATAAAATCAAAAATTTTGAACTTATAAATTTGCTACAATATTTATAAATTCTTCAAATATGTAAGTCTCTTTTTTATTTTTCAAAACCTGAAACCTTTGAATACATCTAAATCTTTGAATAACTTTCAAAAACTCAATATGTATTCAATTCAATTGAAATCAATCCTAAAACAACTCTTTTAAAGTCTTTCTTCAAATTCCATTCTTCAATTTGCAAAGAAAAAAAAAAAAAAAAAAAAAAAACTCTTGAATTACATGAGGTGCACTATTTTGTGTCTTGGGATTTGGTTTTGATCCTTGTTGATCCTCTCTAGGTATCAATTCTTGGTATCTTCAGGTAATATTTGCTACACAATATTTTGAACTCCTTTCTTAAGATGTCTATATTATTTAATTTTTTGATCTACTTTGTTTTGTCTTATTTGTAGTCTTACAAAGTAAGTAGAAGTTTTTATTTTATTTTATAAAAAGACAATATTAATAATAAGGTTTTGATACCTTCCTATCTCTTACCATTGTTTTGCTATTATATCTTTTAATTAGGCTCTTCTATAATAGAACACATATTTGTATCTTTTACCATATAGTTGTGGTTATTTTACAACACAACAATATTAAACATGGTAAGGGCCAAGAATAACATTCTTCTTTGACTTTTAACAGTCTCATCTTCATTGTAGTCAAATCACTAGTATGCCAATACTTTCTAAATTGGTGCATACTTTGACTCATTGTTGTTACATTATTGCTTTAACATGGTAGATAGGTGTCACTTCTTTTACCTCTGAATAATACATATGTCACTTTAGGGTTTTGTCAAGTCTAAAGGAAAATTTTGACTTTGATTGATAAGATGAGAAAGATATATAATATTTGCAATCCTTATATTTATATCAAATCTAATCTATCCTTGGCTACCTTATCCTTTCTTTTAAATTAAACAAAATCTTATTTTGTTAGTTGAGATCATTAAAGACAACCATCTCTAATTCATTGCCATTTTTATAATAACTATTAATTTGGTGGCTATGCTAATTATTAAGTTGGTAGCTTTTTCATGTTCCTTTAATATCTACCCACCTCTTGCAATTGCTAGATCCTTCTAATGTTTTCAATTCTTCTAGGTGACTTTTATCAACTCCAAAGATTCATTGCTTTACAAATAGGCTCTATTTTGACAATTATCTCTTTTGAGGTATTGATATTATCTTTCTTGATTAAATTGAGACTTGTGGTTTTAATCAGGGAGAAATTCTTTATTTTAAAGATTATGTTGAATCAACTTCTTTAGGCCAATATCATTGTTAGTAATGTCAAATTATCATCCAAAGATGGAGTAGAGTCATGGACCTCTTCATTATTTATTGCCTCAACTACCATTTTCTTGCTTATCTTTGGATTGGAACTATTATTATGGTGAGACAACAATACTTTTTGAAGGTAATACAAATCTTTTTGTTCTTCTATCTCAAAAATTAAAGGGATTTAGAGTATAGTTTTTACCAACTAATTTGCTAATTCTCATAAGGCCTCTTGTACCTTAACAACTTTGCTCATGAAATTGGTAGTTGTTTAAATCATTCTACTTACCAATGCAAGCTCTTGTTGGTCTATAATTTTGTTGTATATAAATAAATTATATATTATGTTTATACACTCCATAAATTTAATCAAATTTATGTCTTTAATATATTCAATAATATATATATACACATATATTGTAGAATACATATATTGTTATTTTTTTACACACATTAGATTATTTAACTTAAATATGTATTAATAATCACAATGAAAAAGTAAATTCAATTGTAATATCTTTTATAATATTATGTGTTTTTAAAATATTATTTAATAAAATAAAGTGTTATATATTAAAACAAAAAATAATCACAAAAGAAAAAAAATAAAAACTTCATATTTTATAATAAAATAAAATTCGTTTCTATTACTTCTATTTATTTTTTTATTATTTTCATTTCAAATTTCAAATACACTTTAATTATAAAAAAACAAGTACATTTTAATTTTTTTTTATCACTATACATTATTACAAATGTATTATTAAAAAATCACATATACAACATAAAATCAATATTAATATCTTCATCTATAATATCAATAGCCATGACCACACTTTGAATACAATTACTCACTCCATTATTAATTAAAATCATTTGTCTCACGTGTTTTGAACTCAATGATCAGAAACACTAAAATCCAATTGGATTTTAGTACGGTTGCATGTGACAATTTCATTACACATATGAAACTTCACAAAAATTTGCATGTGCACGGTGGCCAACAGCCGATTTCAATGCAGCGGGGCTTCAGCTCTCTTTCACAAGTGAGTATCACGGAGAGTTATGTATATATATATATATATATATATATACATATCTATAGATGTAGATACATAGAGAGCGAGATACATCACCTAGTGGTGGGAGATAATTCCTGAGGGATGCTTTGGAGGAGTTGGGAGACGGAGGAAGCTGCAGGATATGCTTGCATGTCGACATGTTTTTTGTCGTCACTGGCACTGCTAAGCTTCTGGATCCATGGAATCCAGAATCACAGATCTTCACGAGCAAGCTCGCAGCAACTTGTTGGCCATAGACTAAAAAACTTTATTGACTAGCCGAAATTCTTCGTCGAATTGGACGGCAATCTGACCGATCGACATCTGCTGAGCATGGCGACAAGCTTGAGAGTGAAGTGGCGCGAGGTTTCCATCCTGCCTTCTACCCTCCCTCCACCTTTCACGTTGTGCATTGAGCAAGTTGGGAGTGTGGGTCTGTGTTGGAGGTGCGTGGTTGGGGTGCTGTAGTAATGGGAGATGGCTTTTATAACAACTTCGGAAATGGCATGATGGGCGGTGTCGCAGGTGACACAGCCTGCTGGGGCACCAGTGGCTCGAAGCTCGCACGCGGTAGCCGTGGTGGGGAAGAAGGCGTACGTGTTCGGAGGGGAATTTGAGCCTAGGGTGCCCTTGGACAATGACGTCCATGTCTTCGACCTCGAGACGCAGCAATGGTGTGTCATGGAGACGTCCGGCGACAAGCCTTCGCCGCGTGTGGGTGTGGGCATGGCAGCCGTGGACAGCATAGTGTATATTTTTGCTGGTAGGAACAAGGATCACGAGGAATTGAATGAATTCTACGCCCTCGACACCACTAACGGTGTTTGGAAGCTGCTTTCGTCTGGCTCCGAAAGCCCACCTCACAGGTCAGTGTGTGTGCCCTTCACCCCTCACAGGTTGATGCTACCCTAGAGGACCTTTAACAATTCGCTGATAGTGTCCCCGTTGGTCGTTTCAGGAGCTACCACGCCGTCGCAGCACACGAGCACAGGAAACAAGTGTTCACATTCGGCGGATGCGGAAAAAACGGCCGCCTCAACGACCTGTGGTGCTTCGACATCGCCAATGGCGTGTGGGAGCAGCTGCCGTCCCCTACCCCCGAGAGCAACCTCATACCACGCGGTGGCCCAGGTTTAGTGGCAGTCCGCGACCATGTATGGATAATCTTCGGCTTTTGCGGCCACGAACTTTCAGACATACACCGCTTCAACCTCGATGAGCAGACTTGGGAGGAAGTCCAATGCACGGGGGAGAAACCCACGGGGCGCAGCGTCTTCGGCACTGCCACCATTGGCAGCAAGATCGTGCTGTATGGTGGTGAAGTTGATCCTAGCGACCAGGGGCACATGGGAGCCGGGGCATTCTCCAGCGAGGTGCTGGTGCTTGACGCATATCACCTCTCATGGAGCCGTCCGGATGTGAGTGTGGAGGGTGAGCGGGATCCAGGCGCGAGAGGCTGGTACGCCGCAGCCGCATTCGGAAACTCCATGCTGGTGTATGGAGGCAACTCCGATTCCAATGACCGCCTCGACGATATCTTTGTGCTCTCCCTCGAAGAATGAGGGTCACGGTCTGGGAGAATCGTCGAGCTCTAGCATCTTGTCGTCGAGATCAGTGCCGAAATCCAGTTGTCGACTTTTGAAGTGTCCGATGTGTGACCCAATCCACCCAATCATGGGTTCCTTTATTGATCGGTGGGGTATTGGTCCTATTCCAATACCTAATGGCCCAGCACTCATCCATCTGAATCCTCGAAGTATTTTGTCAGCGTTTTTTATGTTGAAATAGGAAGTTCGTCTTCATATTGTTGGATATCTTCTCGGGATGCATCCACTCATGTAATTACTGCAAATCAAATAATCAGAAAATGAAAAATGAAAAAAAAAAAAAAAAAACAGTATCAAAATATGTGCTTGTCATTGAAATCTTTTTATTGCGGAATCCTGGGAAGTCCTGATGACTATTTTTATACATCTATATGTATATTTCGGAAACCGAAAAATCTACCTAGTACAGTCCCTTTTTCCCTCGGACTTTATTCGTCATCGAAGTTACTGTTGATGCTTACAAGGAGACTTCTGACCAACACCCAGTGCTTCGCTGGTTAGGTGCACCGATGGCGTTTCTCAACAACGTGTACCTTACATCCCATTTCTTGAAGTTTTGAGGGATTCCACTTTTACGCTACGCATGGAATCTTACCCATCTATTTGTCGTGACAGAGAATCCCGTCTGGGACTTCTTCAAGCCTTAAGCTCTAAGGGTTGAACTTTGTATAAAAGCTTGTCACACTGGCGGGTGACAGCTTGTGACACCTGGTTTTATCCTCCTCCTGAAACGTATGAGAAGTTTCACAAACACCTGACAAATTGCGACTCCTCGTAATGCAGCCTTGTGGTCACCATCATATGTCCGATAAACGCAAGGGCAAGCTCACACTAGGACGCAGTTGAAGGCCCTCTGAGGAATGTTATTTTAGCATTTGTTCCTGTAAACTCCGAGAGAATTACGAACCCACATTGTAAATCTGGATTGGAATAATAATTGGAATAATAACACTAGTCTGGAACCATTTTAGTGATGAACGATAGAAACGTGGTGTTTGCTGGCGTGACTCTCGAAGACCAAGGGAGCTTGCGGACTTCATGTATTTACTACGAACTACAGACTTCCCAGCAGCAGCTGGCATTGTAGACACCGACACTGCTGGTACAGCTCATCATCTGATAGGACGACACGGTGCAGGAAGGTCATTCTCTGAAAGCGGTGGGTACAAAAAAGTATAGACAGACTCATGAGTTCCACAGTAACATGTCATGAATCCGCTTCTTCTAACTCAACAAATCAGCTGCACACAATTGGCACTCGTCCGCGTTGCATAAGCCATGACATTATGAATCGTGTTGATTTTCCTTCTTGACAAGTGCATTTCCAAGCGTACAGTGAAGTAATATATATATATATATATATATATATATATATTTACAGAAGTTGGTTGCCATGCCGTGAGGCAAGCTGAGATGCACGGAATGCCTGTTAGTCGCGAACACGCTGGTTGTAGTGGCTTTAGGTTCGCGGTTTGACGTTGCGTACTGGTGATGAGTAAGGTTGAACTTGGAAAGTGGAAATAATGGGTAGCAGTAGAAATAATATACAACCAAATTACTAGAATATGCAATTTCTACCATTGCTTAATTCTCTCAGATTCCTTGGGACCTGGAGCTTTCAACAAGCGTCACAAGAGTCTGTCCGAAATGAGTAGGATGGCCCAGACTTTCCACCACGCTTTGGTCTAAATGAGCATGCGCACATGGTGTCAAAATGCCTCCACATTATTATTATAATCTGAAACTGAGCCAGCAAGCATTCGAAAAAGATACGACCATTCGAGTGTTATTGTCTGCGAAGAGATCATCAATTGGAAGTCGGCTATCTTTTGTCAATGCACGAATAAAGCATCTCATGGCTGGCACCACGTCATCCCACACCTTCTCCTGAAGTCCATATCGCTGTTGATGCAATTTGACATCATTGATGGCAATGGTAGTTCGTAGTCTCTTCAGTATATAAATTGCAGATGGAATTTTCCATGTAGTGTGTTGTACAGATTGTCTGTAATCGTAAAGTCGGAGAAGAAACTTCTCAACTCTCCACTTCTCAGTATTTCCATGAAGGTTGTGAATGCGCTGACACGAACTATAACCCCAGATACAAACCTCACATGGGCGATGCAAGTGAGCTCTGTTCAAAACACCAAGTGCTCGGTTTCTCTTCTTATATGCAGAAGTAAAGGATAAGGAAATCTGTCCTGACGAACAAGTGATCGATATCTCTGTAATGTGATCCAGCCTTCACTTCCTCAAGAGCTGCGTGTTTCTGAAGCAACGAGTACTCTTGATGTGCAGTGACTAACATTCGGCGGCTCGACTGCTCTGTCCCACTGGCTGTACCTGTTCTTGCCTTCTCTCCTTTTGATTTTCTTTCTACGCTAAAACATCTGAAATTAGTTCATATGCTCAGGTTATCTTCATATTTTGGTGTCCTTTTTTTCTAACAAAAAAAAAAAAAAAAAAAAAATCTTTGCTGGATCGTTCTTCTCTTGTACAATTTTCTATCCCAATTTGATGTTGCCTCCTGGAGGTTAGGTTTGTGACAATACAAGATTCGGAAGGGTGGTTGGTAACTTGGCCAGCCCACTGTAATTGCTCTCCCTTGGCAAACTTAAGCTCCTTTCAAGGGCTGGACCTGCCGTGAGCAACCTCCACTGGAAACCAACAGTGTTAATGTTTCTAGCGCATTTTATCGTCAGTTCGATAGTGTAAACTATCACTGCAATCTCATAAGATGTATAATTCGTGAAGTTATTACGGCGATTGCAACCTAGAAATTATTGGGAAGACTACCGACAGAAGCAGGACATAAAACCACTCTTATAGGTCATCTTTCAATCAAGAAAGCTGAAATTTAGGTTTACAGTTAACTCTCTGCAAAACCCCGTAGAACACGTAGCCATGGTAGAACGAAATGGGGACACATCTCGCAATATGAAGAAAGTGATGGTATTCTGCGATGGAACCTGGTGCGGGCAGTTGACAGGAACCAAAACAAACGTCAAGATTCTGGCTGATGCAATAGCCGGCTATGAGGTCAAAGTCGGGGAACCCCTACCCAGCACAATAGATTCAAACATAACAGTATGCTACTTCGACGGAGAAGGAGTGCAAGGAAACTTCTCAGACTACATCTTGGATGGAGCACTCGGCGGCAACATCAAACACGATTGCTTGAAAGCTTACAGAGTCATCATGGACGAATTCGAGAACACGAGCGGTAACTGTGAAGCATGGCTGATTGGGTTGAGCCGAGGATCCTACACAGTTCGTAGCGTCGCCGGATTAATCAACAACTGTGGCATCATCAGCCGAAGTGTTCTACAAAGTCATTTGGCAAGAGATGAGCCTCTCACAAATGAAGAAATGGAGGACTTAATCAATCGGGCATACGATTATTACCGCGACAGGACATTGACATACATGCCCGACACGGATTACATGAAGGAGTGGAGGAAGAATCACAGCCGAGAAACGGAAAGACCACCGATCAAGTTTATGGGCCTTTTTGAGACAGTGGGATCTTTAGGGATACCATCACTGAATCCTGGCCAGGGGGTGGAATACTACGGAACACTGAATTTCTACGGCAAGCAGGAGGAAGGAGCTTCTGGAGTATCGGGAGAGGTGGAAAGGGTGTACCAGGCGCTCGCAGTTCACGATAGAATGACGGCATTCAGTCCCTGCCATGTGAAGAGGGATAAGCCAAACGACCAATTCTACTACAACGAGATAAAAAAACTCGGCATCAAATACGAGACGGAGGAGCGCTGGTTTCCCGGAGCCCACTACGACCTCGGAAGGCAGAAATTCATGTTCTTCAAATCACCCAGTCTTTGCGCGCCTGAACTTAAGGAGCTATCGTTCCGTAAATGGGTAATGGAGATCGCTACAAGAGCCGTTCAGAAGAGCATCAGCTTCTGGCTCACTCGCCTACTGCGAATCCCTGACATTCACCCAGAAACCACCTACTCCGAGACCGTGCTGCTATGGATGATGGAGAAGATGATCGACACGGATTCAGACATCTTCGGGTATTTGCGCACGACTGTGCGTAGCGAAGAGGTGGAAACGGTACCGTGGAGCTTGAAGCTCTACGACTGGTTGACACTGAAACCAGCCCCATTATACAACGACGCTTACGACCAGCTCGTGGAAAAGAGGTATCTCTCGGTGTTTCTATTCCCGCTTGCGCATCAGTTCCTTGTGACCATATTCACCAGGTATCTGCTCAAGGACCGAACAATCCTGGATCCTCCTCTTCCTTCTGCGCCTTCATCGACACCTCCTGCACCCCCTGTTCAGTTCGAAAAATCCCATGGGTTCGACGCCGACCTCAGAGCCTCCGCTCGTTACAGGTCCAGAAGCTACGACGCCTACCTGCTTGAGCAGAACATACGATGACAACAGATGCAAAGATCGGATTGCACACCGATCGGCCTCCAAAATCGACAGAGCTCCCGGTGCATGAATCCCTCTAAACCAGGCGTGTCGATTCACGTCGGCATGCCATTTCTCTTTCAGTGAACTCGCGGAGAATTTGCAACTTGTATGTGAGAACATGCGTCCATTATTGAGGCTACAATATCATCATAAGCCTTTCTTTGTTGAAGATTCAATTGTGGAACTTACTGCTCCAAATTTGTTAAATGTTCTGCGCTCTTTCTTCAACTATCAATCGATTTCCATTAACTGTTGCATTTCAATTGTTTCTTGGTGATGGCATTGGAAGAAACTGTGCAAGCATGCAAAAATCTTATTTAGTAATAAAAATCCAAAATCCTTAATTTGTTCTACCATTGGATTGCTAATTCCATGTTTTCTATGTAAATGGGCATTAAAATAATCATCAAGATGCTTTTTCAAAATCGTTTCCATAAGATTAATGGATTTAGCAGATTTTTGTACACTAGCAAAACAACAAACAATGCCCTCAATTAAGATTCAATTTGTATTCTAGATGCTTCTTTTAAACATTGTAGCTCTCCATTATCATCAAGCAATCCTAAAGTTGTACATACACTTTTAAATGTTGGATGAAAAATTCCATAAATAGACTAAGTATTCAAATGATTATAAACCTTTATTGTGGATTAATTGAAGCCTCAAATAATATGTTTTTTCCATTGCAAGATTTGCAAAATACAATCTTTTAATAAAAAATCTAAGTTTTTTTAATGTCCATATCTTTCTTGTCTTATGTCAAATAAAATATTGTGGAAATTATTGGTATGTATGTTGTCTAGCCACTACTATTGCTGCACATATTTTAAAAAATAAAGTTAATATTGTCTTTTGTCTTTCAAAACGTTCAAAAATTGCAGCTGTCTTGTCATTTGGATCATATGCTACTTGATGCATTTTTAAAGAATGAAAGGCCAAACAAACAATATTTGGCATTTTTTCATGGATTCGCATGCCAAAAAGTCTCCTAGTAGCCTCAAAAGGTTCTAATGTATCTTGCATCCAAATATTGTTTGATCTTGTCTCATTGGTTTTCAAATTGCATTGTAATGCAATCATAGCCCTTAAAGATACATTTGTAGATATACTTGATAGCACAAATAGATGCACATAGTTCAATATTAATATGAAAATCGTACTTCCAAGATAGTTTTGGACAAAATAGAACAATATCTCTATTATCAACAACCGTTCTTCAAACTTCAAATGTTCTTCTATTATTTCTTTGTTGATATTGAGGACATCCATTGGCATCTATTATTGTTTCTTTCACAAATATCTTTAAATACTTCTTTGTACAATGACCATCTTCCATGCAAGGCACTTGAGGATTTTCCATTCCACATGAACTATGTACCATGCATTGTAGAATAACTTCAAACAACTCTTAATTGTTGTCTTTAACTATAAATTCTACAAAAATCATATGATCCACATCTCTAGCACATCTAAACTTACTTTTTCTATCCAAAAAAATCAAGATGTGTATATGAGGTAGACCTCTCTTTTGAAACTCAATAATATAAAAATGTGCAACAACATGACCAAAGCAACTTCCTTCTTTATATCTTTTATAATTGCATATCTCTTGAGCTCAAATACATAAGCAATAAAATCTAGCTCATGACTTATTTATTGTCCTTGAAGCAATTTATTCTAAGTTTTGGACTAGCTTGGATTTACTCTCATTATCATAAAAATATTAGGATGCTAATAAAACCTTATAATTGCCTTCTCTTTCTTCAATATTATCCATCACTACATTTTGTGCCTTTAGGTCAAGATGCCATTCAAGGATTCTATATGAACAAAAAAAAACATAGTGAAGGAACAATAAGTAGGATGAGTCCCATGAATCTTTTTTAATAGCCCTTTACTTTGTAGGCAAATAATAATATCATAAAGTATATTATGCTTTGATCCATCTCTAAGTAATATAATAGCAATTTCTTTAAAATTAGTAAAAAGATTATATTAGCATCTATTGCTATTATTCATGAAGTGCAAAGAAACAATAATATCTACTTCCACTCTTCCTTTATTCCATGCTTGAGATATAATTTCATGTGCCTATCTATATAGTCTAATAATTGGATTATTCTTCTTCAAAAATTCTCTAATTTTTTATATAAATTGGCTCAATAAACTATGATTACATCTCATTTTTCTATCTTATATAAATGATATATCATATATAAAAGTGTGCAGAAGTTGGGTAGATACTTATCACAAACATATATACATTTATTGTAATGTTTACCTATATGATTATATAGAAGTAAATAAAAGTAAATTTATTTTATAATATTATCTAAAAAAACTTCTTAGAAGCCTTATAGACATTGCTTTGAATTTATATGTATTTGTAATTGATTGTTAGGTTAGAAACTTGGTCAACAAGTTAGCCATGTGTTGATAACTTGCAGAATAAGCTAACTATGTGATGTACATATAGAAAACTTCCTTTATAAATTAAGATATGTATCTTACAAAGTCAATACATTTTGAAGGTCCTATAGAATATTGCCACATAGTTCCTAGTTAAGAGTATATATAGAAGCAAGAAGTAAGTATTCTTCAATCTTGTCAATGACTTTTTAGTCCTTAGTCTTGTTTTAAGACTTTTTAATTTTCTTGCCTTTGAAAATAGCTATTTTGATTTCATACTATATCTAAAATAAGACCAATCTATTTTGAGAGTCCAAGACTCTTGTAATCCATAGCGATATAAAACCTCATTACAAAGTAGGACAAAATGGACCAAAATAAAAATGAACAAAACTAAATAGAATAAGACACAAAAAACAAAACTATGGAAACAAAAATAAAACAAAAAAAAATTGAACAAGAAAATATAAAACCAAACTTTACTAAGAGAGAAGGTCTAAAGCCATACCTGAGTAGATGTCCAAAAAGTCCTTAGCCAATCCTATTTATACTTGTTCTACTATCCTCGACTTTCTAAAATATTCTTAGATAACAGATTCTACTAGACAACCATCCTAAATTCCTTCTTAAAGGTTCTATAGTAGATTCTATCTAAATAACCATTCTAAGTTTTTTTTAGAAGATTCTATCATAGGCCCTACCTAAATAATTGTCCTAAAATCTTTTTAGAATATTCCATGTTGGATCCTACATAGTCCACTAACTTAGTCCAAATTCTAGAAACTTCTATAACTTTTTAAACATAATTCCAACTATCTATCCTTATATGTCAACAATACAAATATCTTATCTATACCATGTTACAATTAATCTCCCTCTACTAATATGGATCGTCCTTGTTTTCTCCTAATAATATCTCCAAATTGTCTCTTGGCAATGAATGAGGTTCTATGTAGGTTTTCACATTGCATCATAGATGGGATAACCTTTTCAAAGAACTTTGTACTGAAGTTATGAATGTCCAATGCCACAGTGAAGGTAGCGATGCTCCATAATGTTGTCCACTTTGTATTCTTGTTGGTCATCAACTACAACTCATAGTAGTATCAAGGACATGAATCTCAAAGAAAGAAAATCCTCAATATACTCTTGTGTCATTGAAGAGAATTAGAAAGTCACTCATAAGGTGATATAATATTAAACTAAAATGGCTATTGTCAAAAACAAAAAGATTTGAAAGTCTTGAAACAAGATTAAGAACTAGAAAGGTGTTGACAAGAGTGAAGAGGGCTTCAATCTTGCCTTCATATATACTGTCTAACTAGGAGCTACATGTCGATATTCTATAAGACCTCTAATATGTATTGACTTTGCTAGCCACATGTTTTAACTTGTAAGGCAAGTTTTTTATATATGTGCTATATAGTTAGCTTGTTTTATAAGCTATTACATAGAGTTAACTTTTTCTACAAGCAACTAATACGTGATTAACTTGTTGGCTAAGTTTCTATCCTATAAATACATCTAAAGACAAAACCACGTCTATGAAGCTTCTAAAAAGCTTGTTTAGAAGACTTTATGAAATTAATCTATATTTATCTACTTCTATCTAATCATATAAATAACTATTGGAATAAATGTATATGTCTATGACAAATAGTTGTGATTGGTGTCGATTTAGAAAGCACTTTGATTTAATATGAAATTCTTTTAGTTACAAAACATTGAAGATTGGATGGACCAAAATATGTGGCGAAAGCTCAAGGTGGTATGCAACATCAAAAATCATTCCAAAAATGCAAAAAGGTCCAAGCCACCAAGGTACTAGTTTACAAAACTGGGTTGATGTAGCAAGTGGTAAGTTGACATTGGAAAGTAATACCTTATCAACCTCTTGAAAGATCTTGTATTGTCAATGGTTATTTGCATACTGCCTGTGTCAATTCTATGCAGTAAAGAGACAATGTTCTACCTCTTATAAGGCCATTGTAAGCCATTGTATAAACTCCTTTGTTATCAAGTTGTTAGTGTCGATGAGAAGATGGAGAGTTGTTGGCATAATTAGATATTGATCGATGTTAAAAAAAAATGATGAATGACTAGTACTTGCTTGAATACTATTATTATAAGAAAACTTCAAGGATGTTAAGTATTCATTCCAATCATTATGATCAACTATCACAAATGCCTATAGCATATCTTCTAAGGTCCGATTTGCATACTCCATTTGTCCATTTTTTTGGAGATGAAAGGTTGTAGGCATCACAAGTTACATGCCTAATAGCTTAAATAAGGCTTATTAAAAGCTTCTCTTGAAATGTGGATGTCAATTGAAACAATGACATGAGGTAATCTATAGTGATGAAAGACAATATTAAAGAAGACTTGTGCAAGTGCTAGAGCATCAATATCTAAGCACATTGTGACCAAATGAAGTTGTTTTGAAAGCCAATCCATAAAGATGATAACGGCGGTGTAATTATGAAGCTCCTGCAATAAATACATAATGATATCCATAGTCATCTTCTCCTAACATGCCAAAAATAATGGAATTGGTTGCAATAATATAGGAGATGTTGCGTTGCATGCTTTATTATGTTGACATGACTTGCAAGGGCATACAAAAGCTCAAACATCATAATTCAAATATGTCCAAAATCATATCTTTGATATCTATTCTAGACTCTTCTCTCGCCCCAGATGTCCAAATATTAGAATATCATGTCCCTCTTGAAGTATGTGCATTGAGAGTATAGCATTGTCAGGTACATAAATCCGCTTCTTGAAATAGAGTAAGCCTTTACTAAGACTGTACTTTTGATACTATATATTGTTTAGCTTCAACCGATTCCTAACCATCTTAAAATAAGTATCTCAATGCATAGCTTTCTTCTATTTTGCTTCTTTAAATAGGTTTAAAATGACACTACTAACG